GTAATGGCATTGGCTTGGATGGTCAGTTGGTTTATGCAGATTTCTAGTTAAATATTGTTTGGCAAATGAAGTACCTCCTTCCCATTGTATGTTATCTTGGTCTTCCTAGGACCCTAACACATAAATTGAATTTCCAGTTCAGAAACTTGTTACATCCTATAAACAATTAACATGTTTACCAGTTCTTTTGTTGTTTCATAGCCATGTGTTGAAGGTTCTTAACAGCCAATATCACAATTGATAGGCAGAAATTAATATCTTGAGAACTTAATTGAGTGCTAATTCTTTGTGCAGTTCTCTCTGAGTCTCTTCATTTATCTTTCTTCTCCTCTTCTATAATGATGTAGCAGAGTTAGCATTGTATTTATGCTGATGATTTCATGGGCTTTTTGTTCTTATGAGATCTACATGATTTATGCAGGACATCAGAATCATTCTCGCCAATTTGTTTACCAAGATATAATCCTATGGCATTTTTGTATGCTTATGTGCATTTTCTTGATGTGAGTGAAACTTGCTTCAGAATATATCGACTTTATGCATCTTTTACAACATATAATAATGTCATATTTTTCTCGATGCTGGTCATGCCTACAGCACTTGATAACAGATCTTTTTTCTTTTGACAGGTCAATACATACGTGATGCTGCTTACTACCAGTTCAGATGCCTTCTATCACCTTAAAGAATGCAGGTAAGCTATATTTTCCTAATTTGATCATGATATATTGAACTTCTGGTATGAATTATGAAATTCCTAATTTCTACATCGACTGCATATATTTAGGCTGACCCATTTCCATCATACAAGTTGGAAATATAGCCATATTAAGTAATACCTATGCATTACTGAGGAAGTACATGTTATCTTTGTATGCAAAATATTACTTTTCATTCTTCTGTTTTAGATTATTGAGAAGTTTGACTGAATTTTTATAGGATCCGCATAGAAACGGTTCTTTTGAAGTCCAACGTTCTTAGTGAAGTTCAAAGGTCAATGATAGATGGTGGAATGCGTGTTGAGGATTTGCCGGTCGATCCATTGTCTCGATCTGGACCATCTCCTCATCTAGGCAAGCAAAGCCTTGCATCAGATTCTCCTGAGAGGCCTAGGGAACCATGTATAGGATTGGGTGGTCCTGCTGGACTTTGGCATTTCATTTATCGCAGTATATACCTGGATCAATATGTATCCTCCGAGTTCTCACCACCATTTAACAGTCTCCGGCAACAGAAAAGGTAAACGTCTGAAGCTTGTACCAATTCAGTTGAAACTCCTTTCATACTGAGTACATATCATATCTTGCTTCATTGTGGTTAGTATTGGTAATTGGTTCTGTCATGCAGATTATATAGAGCTTACCAAAGACTGTATGCTTCCATGCACGATAAAGGAATTGGGCCACATAAAACTCAGTTTAGAAGAGATGCAAACTATGGTAATTCTCTCTTCCTATAACATTAGAGATGCAAACTATGGTAATTCTCTCTATAACATTAACTATATAACTAACTAACGGTTAAACGACATTGGAGGTCACTGATGTTTGAGTAATTTTTTTTCTCGTTTTCATCACTTGAAGTTTGAAAAGTTATACTATGGTCACTAATATTGATTTATCACAAAATGGTCACTAATATCGATTTATCAAAAAATGATCACTCAAGTCATTAACTCTTGTTAAATTAATGATTTGGTTTATCTAAGAAAAGGGTTAATATCTAATTTGACCCCCTGAACTAATAGTTGAGTTGTGGAGCTTTGATTTTGCCAAGATTTAGGATTTATTGATGGTTTCGTTGTCAATCTTGGAACATTTCATATAAGTAATTGAGGGCTGTTTGGTTCTTGAGAATATGTAAAGAAATGGGTATTAAATATTGGAATATTAATGTTGTTTCATTTCTTTTGTTTTGAATTTGTTTCAAAATTGCTATTTTTTCTTTATCTTGGGTTGTTTGTTAACCACAGTGAAGTGAAATTGATTCAAAACTTTTAGTTATTGAGTGCTTCGAAGTTGTACTATTTACTGAAAAGTCAACATTGTTGCAGTTTTTGTTTTCATTTTGCTGTTTGAATGTCTTTCCTGCGATTGATACTTAGATTTTTTTAATGTTATCCGATATTAAAGAACAGAGTTATGAAAAAAGTTTTTTGTTTTACAACCTTCATGGAGTTGACTTGATTACATTTTTTTGTCAGTTTTACTCTGCTGGGTCACACCGGATTTTGAATTCTATGCAGCATTTGATCCACTTGCAGACAAGGTTTGTTTCAGCATATACATCTTAATCATTTATTTGGGTTGAAAGTTCAAATCATCTTATATATACACTGAATACTTTTCTGTAAAGAAACTTTGAAGTTTCATTTATGTTATGTGCAGGCTCTAGCCATAAAGACTTGCAACCGGGTTTGTGAATGGGTAAAAGATGTGGAAAATGAGATTTTTTTGCAGGGAGCAAGCCCCTTTTCATGGTGATAAGTCAATCGTGTACTACAAATGTATTCTAGTCTTGGTGGTTGGCGCACTCAGCAACTTTTTGCCCTCCTATGTTCATGATACCCGTTGTTAGCTAGCAAATGTATGATTCACCTTTAAAGGTTCTTTTTTTCCCCTCTTTGCTCATCAATACCAGAAATAACTCATAAAGTGCCTAGGAAGATGATTACTCTGTTTTGTTCAAACTGAGGCGTATTTTGTATTAGTATGGTATGGATGGTAAATAAAGGCGACAAAAATAGTTTTTTACACGCCGGTTGTTGTAGGATTACTTTGTTCTGGTATATCTGTCATGTTTGAGCCTTTTTTTCTGTAATATGTTCTATTCCGCTCTGAAATTTCTGCTCTGCATTTCTCACGGAAATCATCTAGTGAGTGCCATCTGAATTCTGAAGTGATGTAAATTTAAGAATGCTTCAACTGATATCCTCCTATCAGTACTTCAGCATCTCAGTCATGGCTTCATTATTGTCGAGGTGAGCTTGCGAGCTGATGAGAGCTGTTACAGGTTCCTTCATCGAAACCATGAAGAAGATAAGACACAGCCGCTTTTAATGGGGCAATGGCCATCCAATGAATTGAATTTATAGGTCGGTAAACTGAATACCCACACTTTCTGCCACAATTCAGTATTGCCGAATCCAATCCATTAAACACAGTCGTTCTGACTAATGTTGAGCTACTTCATCGTTTGAACAGGCAAAGAAATCGTACACTGTATGATCCCAAGGGCACCTTATAAATAATCTCCTTGATCCCCAGAAAATGAAATTGACCAAAGTGACCTCTTGGGAAGACAATGAAGATATAAATGTTTTTTTTTTCTTTTGCTGAAAAATTCCAAACAACACAAACGCTATTCTTAGTGGTACTTATACATCAGCTGGTTCGTCTTGATATTTATTATATACCGTACTTTTAAAGTTTTTCCTTTTTATATAACCTGCAAAGGGTGTGATATATAGATATAGGGATTGGGGGCATCGAGTATGTTTATTGCCCGAGGAATAACCACCAAAGCAGACAGAATGGGGTACGCATGATTGGACTGAATGAGGCCCAAAAGATGTTAAGGAAGCAGTGGCATTATTTATTTGATAAAGCAATGGGTCATGCGGAAAAGACATCGGAATCCTCTATCCATAGCCATAGAAAAATAATTGAAAAAAGAGGAGAGGGACAAAGTGGAAGAATGAATATTATCATCACCTAAAGTTGAAAAAAGAAAAAGAATATACAAAATACCCATTTTGACTTTTCCTTTATGTACCATTGATTTCACTTCGCATCTGCCTGAGATAAAAACTATACTTTCATGCGTATTCTCTCTCTTCTTCTCCTTTTATTTTCAGCTATTTAAAATTTTATAATCTTCAAATTTTGAACACTTTTAATTTAATCTTCTCAAAATTTTTAGTTCTTCTTATTATATTAAACTTCCTAAAGGTTTTGAAAATTTTATTTTTACACTTTCATTTAAAAAAAATACTCCCCGGTTATAAGACATTGTTTTATTGAGTCTTCCGACTATTAAAGTTATAAAATGATCATTTAACTATATGTCATTGATTTATTGAGACCCCGACTATTAAAAGTTGTCAAATTGTTATATGACTATTCATATGTTCCAAATTAATTATATTTTGTTAAAAATGACTAGAGTATGAGCTGGACGTTAACCTGCTAACTATAATATGATAAAATTTGATTTCAAAATCTCAAACAACTATCATATCTTAGCTAATATATTAATGTTCAGCTCATGTTGTCATCAATTTTTTAATAAAAAAATGATGAGTTTGGAACATGTGAATAGTGTATTTTGTAACTTTTAATAGTTAAAAGACTTAACAAAGCAACGTTCTATAATCAAGAGATAATTTTGTAACTTTTAATAGTTAGAAGACTTAACAAGATAATATTTTATAGTTGAAGGATAATTTATGTACTTTGTCCTTTAAATTAATGACGATGTATAAATATAAAATATGAAGTTTTAAAATATTTCGTAGGCTTTTTCAGGTATAACTATAAACTGGGGATTCGTAGGATGAAGTTGATCCAAGTTTTGACTTCCAAAAACATGTGAAGGAAGCCTTTTACATTTAACATTCATACCAGATATGAATCGTGAAGCTTATGTTTCCCAGTTTTTTCCATTAATGTGAAACATGTCTTCATTGTAATTATTAATGTGAAACGTATGTCTCAATTTAAATATGTTTGATATATTAATTAAAATTAAATATTAGATGTAATTAAATTTGTAACGTCTCGCTTTCCGTGTTAGGAGTTTGGGCCAACCCGAGGGAGGATTTAATAAACCCATTTGACTTGTGAGAAAACCCGTGTCCATTTATGGAATAGTTTGGGCTTAGGTTGAGCCCATTTAAGTCTATCAAAGGGTGTCTTTGAAACAAAGATGATTGAAGAAGGACAAAAAAAGCTATTAGCCCCTGAACTTTTTGAAAGCTGAAATCACATTAAAATTTGATGATGTATACGTCCATTCTCTTATCACAATATTGCATTCTCTTATCACAATATGCAATATTGTGTTGTTCATTGAAGGTATGGCCACAACTGAGTTGAAAAATCTAGAATAATAGAAGCTTATCTTCGAACCTTGAATATCAGGTCTTGTAGCTGCAATCGTCTTAATTGTTCAAATCAAGCAATCTAATCTGTATCGGTTTTGCAGTCACAACAGGTTTTCATATTTGCTAATCAAACTGGGCTTGACATGCTGGAGACAACTCTACTGGCTCTACAAGACATCACATTGGATAAATTGTTTGATGAATCTGGACGAAAGGCATTGTGCTCCGATTTTCCCAACTTAATGCAGCAGGTGAGTCCTAACCAACCAACCCCTAGAAAACGGAAAAGAAAAACACTTCCCCTTGCTGTTAAAATGTCATATTTTTCGTTTCGGACATAGATATTAACTGCATGGCTGAGCTAAGAAAAGGGCTGCTTGTAATTTGTCTAGTAAATACATAATTAAATATTTCAACTTTAATAACAGGGATTTTCTTGCTTGCCGGCCGGAATCTGCATGTCAACAATGGGACGTCATGCTTCATATGAACAAGCTTTTGCCTGGAAAGTCCTTGAAGCTGATGAGACCACTGTCCATTGCCTCGCCTTCTCGTTAGTTAACTGGTCCTTTGTGTGAAAAAACAGTTTACTGTAGTTTATTTGTCTGAAAAACCAAGCTTTCCCCCTTGCTGCCCATGGAAAATGGAAATGATGAACAGATCAGAAACAGGGGAAGAAGTTTTGTAATATGGAAGGCACCCAGTTCAGGCTTGCATTTTATTAATTTAATTTAATTTTTTAGTGCACCATTATTTGGCCTAACCCCCTATATATTCGGGCATTGATGGTTCTTATACGTTTTATGTCTGATTGTTTCATCAAATTATATTAATTAATGCTAGTTGACGACAGGGTTGACGCATATATATATATATATATATGCAAGAGTTGTAAGGAAATAACGAACATGCATATTATGTTAGTAATTTGTAGTGTATGAAACTTTGCTAAGTTTGTACATTTGTATTATGATTTGCATTTCAACTAGAGAACAAGGAGTAGCTCAATGGTAATAACTTTGAACCACACACACACCATCTAGCATTGAAAATATACATGTTTTACATTAATGTGATCTGATCGATCAATCTCCAATTGATGCATATTGAATCAACCGTTTTTCATAATGTCCTTGTCCGTATATTAGTCTTGCATACCGATTTATGATACAAACTATACAACCATAAAATCACAACCAAGTTTTCATTTTCAAATCATCCAAGAAGGCTACGAGGAGATATTATTGACATTTAAAAAATGCTTCACAGATCTGATTACTCTCTTTTCAATTTTTTTGTTGTTGCCTGCTTATCTGGATGCCAGTGACCAAAAGTTCAGCAGAAATGATGGTAATGCAGTAAACCAGCTAATGAAGGCCATTGCAGTAGCAGTTTTAAACTGTAAGCAATGGTTATGAGCACAGCTATTAAGATCATTGTCGATAAGAACGGTGATGCCCGCAGAGGCACAAGCTGCAGCAAATGTCAGAGTGGATGTGATCTGCAAGGAGAGAACATATGATCAAGACAAAAAAAAACTACATAACAAAGAGTAGACGAAAATGATTCTGAAATGTCAGAAGCTTTGTATGTAACACGCAAACTGTAAGACGGCGGGGAGATATAAAACAAGCAGTAGGGAAGAAACTGAGCTCTTAACTAAAGCAAGTGCTTCTGAACGCATAGTAATAGCAAGTTGTTAAGGCCTCAGCATATGCATCGAATATAGCAGGAATGAAGGTGGGATATGGGGTATGTTTCTAAGAAAGCCAGGCACGCAGACAAATAGATATTACGTTCATTTGTAACTGAAAAAAATGAACTTCTTACCCCATCGCCAATAGCAAACAAACTAACAACACGGTAGTTTTGCAACGAGCGCCTAACTAGAAGGGCATACACGTCAATTATAGCCTGCGCTAAGCTCCACAAACTCTGCAAACTGGTGGCAGCAACAAGGTAGCTGATGTAGCAAATAACAAAAAGTTACTTGTTACGAAAGAGTCAATATAACATGAAGGCATAATATTTGCTTCATTTGTGAATCACATCTGAATTCCAAAAGACATAATAAGTTTCAAACAGTAAGGCATATAGACACATAGTAAATAATAAACATTCTTGTAAAGAATCTATCAAGAAAAATCAAACTGTAGACATAATTAGGCTGTCCTCCTTGAAGAGTTATGAGCATGAGAACCTATCTCTTACACAACCCTTATTATTATCAAAATGCAGACAATAGAGCACCTACAGTGTGTGACATAAGACATCCTACTATCGTACTTGCCATTTTCTAAGAACTGATGTCTATTTGTTTGACATTTTCATAGACCGTTTAATCTAATACACCACTTAGCATGTGAAACAGGTATAATTAGCAAATTGCCAAGTATTAATAGCCAGTGGATTCAGCTTGAAACCAACCAAATGCAAAAAGCCCAAGTGAAGGGGAAGACGCTGATTTTCATATCTGAAACAGATGAAAACTAGGTTTCTTTACCTTAACAAAAATTTACCTACCTAACAGGCACTAAATTATACTACTTCTATGCAATTTTCAAACCGGACTTTTAACGTTATCCCATTAAAATAATCTTCCCTTCATTAGATATACTAACTAATGACAATGCGAGTTAACAAATAACCAATATATCAATTGTCTTAAATACGTATGAACTGGATGAACATTGACAAATTACTACATGTGCAACAAAAGAAAAACGATGATGTGATACATGAACCAACCAATTGAAACAGATTCCTATATTCACTTCTTAAAATTTAAAAGCTCAAGACTGATAACACAAATAAGGTTTTAACACTAATATTACAGCATTATTTCCAAACAAGTGTTAGAGCTTGCAAATCAAGAATTCATACTACAAGAATCGATATTTGGTCCTCATCATGACTAGCAAATCCAAACTAATACCGAGAAGAAAAAAATTACATTAATCAAAAGAATTACCAAAAGGCAGTAACAGATGGAAAATCACTAGTGGTTGCCATAATACAAATTCCCAAAACTGCAGAAACAAACTGACAAATCCGCAACGCTAGCCCTCCTGCTGTTCCAGGCATTCCCTGAATGTCCTTCATCCTCACTCTTGGCACCTCGTTGATGTTGGGGCCGCCGCCGTCTACTCCTCCGTCTGTGGTTGGTAGATCTTCCACTGGATGGACCGAGGCATGGCTAACATTCATCTCTTCCACTAAATCTCCTTCAATTCATGCTCAGAGCTCTCAATACTTATCAAATAACCGATTTCTTTTTCTTTTCTTCTAGTGTTCACTATAATCAAACGGAACTCAGCCGAGTTAATTATTTTTTAAAGGAGTGAAAAAGCTAAACTATCGCAATTAAATAGTAGAATTAGTTATTACAAAATTCTCAATAATTGAAAAAACAGTTCATCTAACTTATCAACAAAAGAGTGTTAAATTCACTAACAAAAACAAATTCCAATTAAGCAATTATTTGCTAAGAACGGATCGATGAAAAAGAAATAATAGCAAATTTTCCGAGTTTCCTAATAAAAGCAGAGATCCAGCAAGTGAAAATAGAGTAATTTAGATGAGAATATCTTAGATAAAGTTACCTGAAAATCTTGACACTGAATCCCTAAGAATTAGGCCATAAATCTGGGATTATGAACGTGTTTAATTTTTGTGATCTCTTCAGGTTTTTATTCAGTAAAAGAAGAAAGTAAGTGACAATAAGAGGGAATAATAAGAATTGAAAGAACACAGGAAAAAGAATTTAGAGTAAATGGACGAGGCTTTACGCTTCAACTTCTCTTTTTTATTTGTTTTTGTTGCTTTGAGCTATAAGGTCAACTTTTTAATCTTAAACTCTTAATAAGATTGTTTTTTATTATTAATTTTTTTAAAAATTATAAGATATATATTAAAATTTTAATCATTATTATTAATAATGAAATGATGGAAGATATTAAATTAAAGATAAATTATTAAAATAATCACTTTATTTTTATTATCAATTTTAAGAGGATAATGTTTGATTATTTATCTTATTAATTCATAATATTTGATCAATGAGATTTTTTTTTACGAATTTTAAATTTAATATTAATCCTATTTAGAGGGAAACAAAGATGAATAGCTTAATCAACCGATCAAATATGCTTGCTCAATCACCTAAATATTAAATATTATTAGTAACAATTACATGATATGCTAGTATAATTGTTAACTTTTAATTTAATGTGTTAATTTTAGATAAGACATTAATTTAACTTTTAAATTTTAAATAAAATATTAATATAATTCTTAGTTTCAAGTGAAATATCAATTTAACGTTAAAATTTGATCAAAATTCTCACCACTTTAGTCACTGTCGGTCGTCATTATTAATGATATTGAATCTTAAAATTTTTAATTTACACTTTTTCAATATTTCAAACATAAATATAATTATTGTTTCATAAAAAAATACCTCGAATTCTACACATAAATATTTAAACTCTATTTTTGTTCTTTTTGGGTAACCTTGTAATGGTCATAACCAAATAAGCAGGATTGCGGGACACGAGGATTTGTTCCGGATTAAAGTTCAAAATATTCTCAGCATTCTCCTCAATCCTTGAGCCCCTTCTTCCTCACTGCAACCCAGGCCCAGCAGATACATATTTGATTGGCTTATTAAATAAATAAAAAACCTTAATTTATTATTTTATTAGAAAAACAGCTCTCAAACAACATTCGTTGAAAAAATAACTTTCAAACTACTGATATCGAGTCTTGTAAAAATCAAGGTTTGATATCACGTGCTGCAAAACACGAGATCTATTAAATTCTCATATAATTTTATTTAATTTATGGATAAAAGACACAATAAATGTATGGAATTCGTTTTTCATAGAATATTAAAATGCGATGCATGACCTCATTTTTTAGAGAATACGAGATCATCTTACGTGAATAATTTGAGAATATTTTTTCAATTAATGTTGTTTGAGATTTTTTTCTAATAAAATAATAAATGGGGTTTTCATTTCATAATGCCTATTTGATTACTATTAGTGTGTGTTTGTTTGCCGTAATTGGAATTACAGGTGTGAGGTGTCACATTGACTTTTCAAACTTTAACTTTTGACAAAAACCAAAGAAATTTAAAACTTTTATTAAAATAACATTGTTATTATACACGAGTTAATCCAAAACAAGACAAAACTGATCAGAGTATTTATAACTAACACTTTTCTTACTGCCAACACACTATACACCATCAAAATACATACTTTAACAGTTACTTCTGATATGATCTTCTAGCAGTGTTGTTGTTCTTGTCACTTCTATTTTTGTTCTTCCCGATTCTTGGTACCTACGTGTAAATCACTTACACGCTAAGTCATAGACTTAGTAAGGCAATAAACATATAATGTAACTTTAACTAGTAATCATACATAAACAATTACTACCATCATTTCACACAACTCATATACTTTTACATGTAACAAGTACATACATACATATATGTCATTATCATTCATATCTCTTATCTCCTATTCCTATGATCTTTTATATCCATATCATATATCTCATAGATTTGTTATTATCTCTTTATGTCAATCAATTATACTCATTCACATATACCTTAACATGTACTCACGTATACCATATAACATATATATATATATATCATGTCATGTAAAACACATATTCTATCGTAAATCAACTACACACAAGCAACTATATCATCATCTTCATTCTTATCACTATCCTTGATTCCTTTTATCATATAATCTTATAATTACCATTTGTACCATTATATATATCACGCATAACATTTTACAAGGAAACAAACATATCATCATATCCAGTTTATTAACATTATCTCTTTATTAGCCCATGGTAAACATGTGAAAACTATAGATACGTGAGTCTATTGAGGTTGTGCACCACTATGCTGTCACCACAACTCGTATAAATGTCCCGAAGGACCTATCCAGAGGTCATAAAGATCCTCGGTAACTATCCAGATGTCATAAAGATCCTCGGTAATTGTCCATAGGTCCCGAAGAACCTAGGTAAATTGTCCATATGTTCCTTAGAACATAGGTAAACCCTCGACTCTTGACATGCCAACTATACCTCTAGCTCTCAATACACATAACATGGGCATTTTCACTTATACACTTTTATTGCTCTTATGATCAAATATTACTTTTCTTCTGTCACATATCACATGTGCATATAGTCACATAGTTTACTTTCATGTAATTCATATCACTTTTCATATAAACATATGATTCACTTTCACATATCATATATACTTTCTCTTTCATATAACTCATGTCTTGTGATCATGTAAACACGTATCACATAAAATAACATGTCAAACATATCACACAACTGATATAATATTCTCATATATTCCTGTAGTTCAATATCACATATCATATGAATCATATAAATCATGTCACATATACTCATGCATACATAGAATTCACAAATCAAATAACATTTTAAGAGTTACTTATTACCATAGTAACTCCGTCACTGGCTCATTGCAAGCCAATGCTTATTCGATAACATAAGTACAATGAAATTGAACTCACCTTAGCCTTGCTTTCTTTGATTTGATTCTAATTCTTCGATTGTTCCGAAACAAGATTACGCTCTAAATCTACATGGTAATACATTGATACATATTAGTATACTAATTGATATATTCTAAGCTATCACTTCATAGGCTAGAAGAAAGCCATTTTCATCTTTTAATGAAGGCATGCATCGATGCACTACACCATGTATTGATGCATCCCTTGACAGGTGCATCGATGCACTATTCATGCATCGGTGTATAAATCTTATTCGATGTTTGTATTTTAAGCAGGTGCATCAATGCACTCCTTATGCATCGATGCACTAATTGCATTCAATGTTCATTTATTTGAGAGTGCATCGATGCACATTGAAGATGCATGATGCACACAACCCAGAAATGATACTTTGAGCATGAAAATCCCTTCTTTATTCTCTCAACTCTTCATATTTCATCCCTTTTTCTATTATTAACTCTTATACTCTGTCACTGGCTCATTGCAAGCCAATGCTTATTCGATAACATAAGTACAATGAAATTGCACTCACCTTAGCTTTGCTTTCTTTGATTTGATTCTAATTCTTCGATTATTCCGGAACAAGATTACGCTCTAAATCTACATAGTAATACATTGATACATATCAATATACTAATTGATATATTCTAAGCTATCACTTCATAGGCTAGAAGAAAGCCATTTTCATCTTTTAATGAAGGCATGCATCGATGCACTACACCATGTATCGATGCATCCCTTGACAGGTGCATCGATGCACTATCCATGCATCGGTGTATAAATCATATTCGATGTTTGTATTTTAAGCAGGTGCATCGATGCACTAATTGCATTCGATGTTCATTTATTTGAGAGTGCATCGATGCACATTGAAGATGCATCGATGCACACAACCCAGAAATGATACTTTGAGCATGAAAATCCCTTCTTTATTCTCTCAACTCTTCATATTTCATCCCCTTTTCTATTCTTAACTCTTATACACCTATTTAAACTAATCTATACTCATTTATTTCATCTTAAACCCCAAAATCCTATCATTCTTATGAGATTCAAGAATTATACCAACTTTACAACATGATTTAATTCAACTTCTAACACTTCATATGTCTTAACTAGTTTTATGACAAGTCAAATCCAACTTCCAATTCTAATTATCAACTCTATATCAAAATTTCATTCAAGAACTCCAAATCTTTAATCTTCCCTAACTCTTTATCTTTTGATTTTAAAATAACTTAAGCTTTTCTTAAGCTTAGTTATCATCTAACGATCAAAACCCAAACTTTAAATTAACAAATAATCAACAGATAAGAAAGCTTACATTTGCTTGGCTCTCGTTCACGTATGAAGAAGAAAAATAAATAAAAAAGCTCTGGAGAAATATCTCATTTCCCATGTATATATATCCTTACCATATCCAATTTTTAATTCATTTCTTGGTCAATTGACCCTTTTGCACTTTAATACCTTTTATAATTACTAGCATCTTTAAGGTAATATTTCCAAATAAATCATTGAACTTTTCAACTATTCCATTTTAATCACCAAATCTTGAAATATTACAATTTGGTCACTAACCCGGTATTGAGGATGTTACAATTTTCCCGTGTTTGTTTTACGTAATTGGTTTTCCGGAATGTAATTCATTTTCCTAGTAACAGAATTTCCTTTGTATTTTATGTAAAATGACTTACGGATTCATTTTCCGTAAGTAATTTTCCAAACTTTTCACTCAAAGAATAAATACTCAAAATAATTTTATTTTATGAATTTAATATTAATAAAATATTTTAATATCATTTTCATCAAAATATTATTTATTTATTTATTAATATTTATAATAATATAATATAATATTTTTAATATTATATAAAATAATCAATTATATTATAATAATATAAGATATTATATTTTTATTTTAATAAGATATAATAATTTTTTTATATATTTAATAATGAATAATATTATTTATATATTTAAATAATATTTTAATAAAGATATTTAAAATATACTAATTAATATTTTTAAAATATAATATAACACTATTACTTTAATAAATAATTAATATAATTTATAATATTTTATTTCACTAAAATATACAAAAATTATTATTTTTATTAATAAAATTATAAAAATAATATTTAATAATAAATAAATTATTTTAATATTTTAAAATAATAATATTAAATTTTATGATAAATAATATTATTTATTATATTTAATATTTGTAATAAATAATTTTTAAAAAACTCTTCAACTAGTAGGAAAAAGATTTAAATAACATCTTCCAAACATCATAAAACGTTTTCCATATGTTTTTCAAAAAATGTAATTCATTTTATGGAAAACATTTTCCGGAAAACGTTTTCCAGAAATATAATTAATTTTCCAGAATTCAAATTCCAATAATTCAAATTCCAATAATTTATTTTTCGAAAAATCAATTACAGCCAAACAAGCATACCCTTAATTTTATTATTATCTGCAGCTAAAAGGTATAGCTAATTAAGAATGGATATGGAGAGTACCTGATGAGAAACTTCTTGAGTCCTTCAACAACATCATCAGCAGATTGCTTCTTAGCCATTTGTGTATATTCTCAGCTCACCAAAAACTTCACTACAGTCCCGTCTTCGATTGTGCTTGCGCTGTGTTTATTATGATTATAGACATAATAAATACAATTATTATCATTGGGAGTATTGCTACCGTGATTTTTTTTAATTGGTACAACTTATTAAGAAATATAATAATTTTAATTGTCGGATCTTTTAAAAATTTTCCAATAATACTCCATTAAACCGGACTCGGCCACCAATTGACTGGATTAAAGCCAACTCTGATGGAATGTTTCACCCGGTTGATAATAAAGCTGCTGCTGGGGTCTCCTTCGAAATCATGAAGAAAAATGATTATTTTTAAACAATAATCATAGAGAAAGAAAAATATGTGGTTTATTTTTAAAATTATTTGAATTTTTAAGCGCATGGACATGATTTATTATCATCGTGAAAATACAAAATAAAAATAAAAATTTAAAATATAATAATTATAATAATTTAATTGTATAGTTTAAACATGAATTGTTTTTAATGAATTTTATTAATTGAACAGATAAGATTTGAGTGATAGAAGTAAACTATAATGGAAAAAAATAAAAACATAAGTGCAATATTTTAGAGTTGAACGATTGAAGAATTTATTACATATTTACATGGGATTTCTATTCAACAGGAAGTCAAAGTTGTGACCTTAAAAAACTTGAAATCTGGGTTTGGTTTTTTTCCTTCAATTAGAAGTTAGAACCTATGGATCAGTTTCTCGCAAGCAATAAGTCACAAAAATCCATCATGAAGATCTAATATACCCATCCCATGGTTTTGAGAATTTTGGAGTGCCTGTTTTCTTCTTCGCCTCAGCTACTGCTACTGTGTAAATTTTACGGGGGTTTTCACATTTTACGGGGCTTGTTGATCTTCAGGCTTAGTGGACTTTTATCTTCTTCTTTTATAAATAATAGAAAATTTAGGGTTTTTTCTTCTTCATATATAATTTTCATCTCATATTCTCTTGAATCTCGCGGTTCCTTCAACAATTCCTAGATTCACTGGTTGTATCAAGGTTTATGGTTCTACTCAGCTTCTCTCCTTAATCTTCCCTCTTATTCACCATGTTCTGGCAGCTCACACCTATATCCGCCACTTCTTCTGTATGTAATTTTATTTCCATGCTACTTAATTAATTCTATTTTAATTATTGATTTCTGTAACCTTTTCTTGATACTTCGATTTTCTCCCTTTTGTTCGGTATTGATTTATTTCATCTAGTGAACTTGTTAATTTTTCATTAAGTTCGAATTAATCATTTTCTCGCAGATTACTTAATTTGGAATCTACTTTGTTTTCGTCAATGGCGTATCTATAAGTAGTTTCAGTGACTTAGATTTATCCGCGTGGTTGGAAGATTTCATTGTTCAATTCTATGAATTCACTTTTATTTTTAAGTTAGTTTTTGAGTTAGGAAATGGCCGGAGTTCCTTTTATTTGAAGCCGCAGTATCTTATTAAGTGTTAGCTGCTCTTGATTTCATATCACAGAAATCTGTTAAGCTATGTAGTTATTATTAGCTGGATTTTAGTTTCTAGGTTGATGTTCATTCACTGTTTCTGGCATTTCTAAGAATATTGTTGACTTCATGGTACTATCATTAACTGTGATATTATTTTGTAGGTGGACGCTATATTAGACAAGGAAAGCTTTACTTTGGAAGAGCTTCTTGATGAGGAAGAAGTAATCCAAGAGTGCAAAGCCTTAAATATTCGACTCATCAATTTGTAATTCTGCCACTACATTACTTTGTGCTTTTCCTTATTTTTCCTATCATTTTCTATTTGGTGCAATTTTTTGGACTTTAAAGTAGATTTCTGATTATTAAAATGGCTCAAAGTGAACAATCTAATGGAGAATTAGTTTGTTTGATGCTTATGATGTGTTAAATTTTTGTGGCAGTCTACGAGACAGAGCCCAAGTTGAGCAGTTGTTGAGATATATTGTTGAAGAATCTCCAGAGGATGTGGACAGCAGACGGACCTTCAAGTATGTCATTTTCATAAAACCAGGAGTTGGATTTCATTCCATTTCCTTGTAATTTTTCTGATATTAATTTTTTGCTATCCTAATGATTTGCTAACTGTTATGTCTAGGTTTCCATTTGTTGCCTGTGAGATATTTACATGTGAGATTGATGTCATTTTGAGGACTTTAGTTGAGGATGAAGAGGTATTGGTTTCATTTTCAATCATGATTATGAATCTTTAATTATTGAAATTGCTGTGATGTTTGTTTCATACGATTTTCTCCTTGTTGTAGTTGATGAACTTACTTTTCTCCTTCTTGGAACCGAACCGTCCTCATAGTGCCTTGCTAGCTGGTTATTTCAGTAAGGTTTGCTTCTTCATGCTCTGATTAGTTTGTGTGCTGTTTTATGTCATGTTTTCTTTGAATCCTGCTTTGGTTTTATTATTACCAGTTGACAGGCTTCATTTGTTTTGTGATTTTAGGTTGTTGTATGCCTTATGCTACGGAAAACTGTTCCACTTATGAACTACGTTCAAGTAAGCAAAGTTGTTTCAGTTCTTGGACTTCTTGCATATCTGTGATAGATTTCTTTGTGTTGTTGGATGGCACATTAAATAATCTGGATAACTAGTGTAGTTCAAACTGGATATCTGAGTATGCCATAGTCCTACCTTGTTCCTTGGTTGAACTTTGCACTGATTTATTAGACGTGGACTTGCATAATGCACTCAAACAATTGTCACCTGCAAGCTTGTTTTCTGAATTGGTAGTGTGATTAATTCTTGGGATTGTAAGCCATTTTCACCTTGGTCTATTGGTTATCTGGATGGTACATGTAACAACCGCACAAGTCTAGTGACTTGCATGACAACATTTTGGGCTTGTTAGTGGTTTATGGTCCATGAACTACAAAGTATAAATGTTTTTATTTATTTATATGGAATTACTGAGGCAGATTATTAACAGGTACATCAAGACCTGTTCCGCCAACTGGTTGATTTGATAGGAATCACATCCATCATGGAGGTACCTGATATTTTCTTTGCATTGTTTTATTGCAATGGTGGATTTTATGTGGTTTGGACTTTGGAGGTTAATATGTTTGGGTTGAACAAAGATATGAGGTGTACCTTTTTGCAGGTTTTGGTTCGGTTAGTAGGTGCTGATGATCATGTATATCCAAATTTTTTGGATGTAATGCAATGGCTAGCTGATAGCAATTTGCTGGAAATGGTTGTGGATAAATTGAGTCCATCTGTAAGTGAGAATTTTGTTTTATTGTTATTATGACATAATCCTGTATTACTCTTTGCGTGGCATAGATTCTTTGTAATGTTAATCAGACAACCTGTTTTTTGTGATGACCAGTGTGCTCCCAAAGTTCATGCTAATGCCGCAGAAACATTATGTGCAATAACTCGGAATGCCCCATCAACTTTAGCCACCAAACTATCTACTCCAAGGTTTGTGGGATCTAGTTCCTTTGTGTCTCCTCTCTACCTGCATCACCATTTTGATTCTCTATTGTTTATGTGATTTGACATGTAATTTTGAATATGCTCATGTACAGCTTTGTTGCAAGGATACTTGGTCATGCTTTGGAAGATTCACATTCCAAATCTAGCCTTGTAAATTCACTTTCAGTTTGTATCTCATTCTTGGATCCAAAAAAATCAGCAACTACTTCTCCTTTGATACATTCTTTTCGGAATCAGTTTATGTATGAGCCTCCAATCCCTATAAATTCAGAGACTATCAATGCGATGCTGCCTAAACTTGGTGAGAGAATTTCCTTTGCTGCAAGTTTCATGTGATAGTTTTCAAATATCCTAGGTGCATGTAACACGTTTAGCCATGGTGTTCAAGACTGCATGTTTTTGTGAAGGTGACTTGCTCGTGCTTTTGAATGTTTCATCTGATGAGAAAATTTTGCCTACCACATATGGAGAATTGAGGCCGCCTCTCGGGAAGCATCGTCTAAAGGTTCAGTTTTAGTCTTGTTATAAATTTTATGTGCCAAGCAACATGGAATGCTCAATACCTGTTTGATTTCTTTGTTGTTTGTGTGGCCTTGCCTGGAAGTTTCTGGATTCTTTCTGAATTATTTTGCCATTTATTTCAAGATTGTGGAGTTCATTGCTGTGCTGTTGAGAACTGGAAATGAAGCTGCACAGCAAGAATTGATTAACTCAGGAACCATTCGACGAATTCTTGATCTTTTCTTTGAGTAAGCTCTTGCTTAAATCTGTCATCTTGAAGCTTATTGAAAGTTTGAATCTAGAAGGAGGTGCTTGATGTATCACAGGGAATTGGTTCATTTTGTTAGCTAGTCAGTATTCATTCTCTTCATTTCAAATTATGCAGGTACCCATACAACAGTGCATTACATCATCACGTGGAGAGTATAATATTATCTTGCCTTGAAAGAAATAACGATTCTATAGTTCTTCATCTTCTTCAAGAATGTGATTTGGTTGGGAAATTTCTCCAAACTGACAAGCATCCAATTCTTTCTGGAGATGGTAATCAGGTAGATGTTAATCTTGTTGCTATTCTTCTGTCAACTAACTAGCATTATAACCATTACAAGTACTGGCCGCTACAATTGCTACCTGATTAAGCGATTGGCATAACCCCCCCCCCTTTTGGTAAAACAGCCCACTTTAATTGCTGCTGGAAAATGTGCACCACGGGTTGGAAACATTGGACACATTACTCGTATTTCAAATAAACTAGTAGAGTTGGGAAGCAGCAATAGCCACATTCAAGCATGCCTACAGGTATGGACAACTTGTTAATGTTTAATGAGGGCTCAGGATCCCGCAGGCTGTGGGTGCATTTTTTTTTTTGTAGTTTAAGAACTTTTGTTATAATAGAAATTGGGGTAAAACCTTTTTATATTTGGTATGATAAAATCTGATTTGGGCATCATAATTAGTAGTTTTGTTCTTTGGCACATTGGTGGTATCTTTCATTGGCTGGAATAGCTTGGTTGGATCTGTATGTTGGATAAGGCAATTTATTGTCATGTTTATTGCTCAAGTTTTTGTGGTTAACTGACACAAGTTCATACATTCTGTATAGGAAAATAATGAATGGAATGAATGGCAAGCTAATGTTCTGCAAGAGCGTAATGCAGTTGAAAATGTTTATAGATGGGCTTGTGGGTATGATCTTGCTTCACTTCTGATATTTTTTGCTTCCAGATGAGTAGGATACATGATTGAAGAAGTCAGTTATCTATAGATTCTGTGTGTGCTTGATATGGCATTTCTAAGGGTGCTTGCACTCGTGGACTCTGTGGTTTTGTGACAGATTTGTGTCTTATAATGACAGAAAATGAGCCTTGTACTTCTCTCTTTTTAAGTATTTATGGCTTTTAATAGCCTCATGATTTCTGTTTGCAGAAACCACGTTGGTGCAAGAGCAACAGAAAAGTCTTTTAAAGATTCTCATGTATTTTCCCTTCTCTTGTGCAGCCGCCTAACAACCTTGCAGGACAGGACAAGAGATAGCGACGAAGATGATCTTCATGATAGAGATTATGATGTAGCTGCTTTAGCAAATAACCTAAGCCAGGCTTTCAAATACAGAATAAATGGGAATGATGATAATGAAGTATGTAGTTTGGTTTTTCTAATCATGATAGAGATACTAATTGTTTTTATTTATCTGCTTTCAGGAGCGTGATGCTCTTGAGCGAGATGATGAGGTTGGTGACAGTTCTTTTAATTAATTGGAGATTGTTTCTATGTGATTGTTTAAATCAGAACCAAACAAATAGGGAATTTTTTCTCTTCATTTCTTAGCATCAAATCAACTGTATATATATGTTTTCAATTTGCAGGACGCATATTTTGATGATGAATCTGCTGAGGTTGTCATATCATCCTTGAGGCTTGGAGATGAACATGGAAGGTGAGCTTTTTCAGCTTCACGCGTAGTAAAGAAATAATTAGTTGGTGAGGTTCTTAATGGCCCACCTGACGGGTAGTTTTGTTGAAAAACCTCTGATTCCCTTAGCTTTCATAAATGTACGCTTTTATTGTTTTGTTAAAGCAGTCATATTAATGGAGATTACAACCCATGTGTTTTAATGAGCAGTCTGTTCACAAATTCGAACTGGTTTGCATTCGAAGATGACAGAACCGGTAATGCACCTGTGGCATCATTGGCCACGGAGGTGATGAATGGTGCCTCAAATGTTGGTAACAGCAGTAGTGATGATAAAGTGGTAGTTGGAGAGGAAGACGAGTTGAATGACAACAAACAGTCGGTGAATAGCACATCTACTTCCGATGCGATGAATGGATTTAACAATCTTATGAGTGATACGAGATTCTTCAGGTTTGACACAACAGAAAACGAGGATTTGTCTGGAGACAGGTCTTTACCTGAGTGGGTGGGATTGGAAGAATATTTGGGTTTGCAAGCAGCAGGTGGTTCAAGCAAGAATCCATTTCTTGATGATGACAGCACTGATGTCAGCATACCCAACCAAACAGAGGCAATGGTCACCGATGTTGGCAACCACTTAAATGGGGAGTCCACACTTCCAAGTGATTCCTTAGACTCCATGGATTTAAGTGAAGGATCAGCGATAAGTGATACAAATCAGAAATATCCACCTCCGGCGCCCTCTTTATTTGAAGAGGACGTTGAATTTGTAGGTGTGGAATCAGAAGGTACAGAGAAGGCAATGGAACAAGCTTTAAAAGGAATAGTTGGGGAAACAGGGCCGTTGCAGAGGAACAGTATCCCAAAGGTACCTGCAAAGGAGAACGCTGGTGATGATGGAGCTGGGATGGAGGAGTTCAATGATTCAAACTATTGGAGGGTGGATCAAGAGGTTGCTATTTCAGAATAATGCCGGTAAGAAAATGTCTTCTGCCAAACCTCAAACTCGGACTTGAATCTGACAAAATCCAAGCTTTTGGTTGGTGAGGGCAGAAGCAGAAAAGCAAACTTCATATGCACAGTATAATTCCGTTTACTCGTGGGGGTTGGCTGTGCTATGGTAATGGTTTGTTCTGTTCATTAGTAATTGTTGTTATTGTTTAACGTTTTGTTTCTTCTTCCTGTTTGTCTTATTTTAAGGTTAGGTTTTCCCTGTCGTTCAAGTCGTTCAAGTCGTTTTTCTTCTGTTAATGTTGTTGGCATTCTTTTATGGAATTTGCATGCAGATATGCAGAAGCACCGATGGATAAGGTTTGTGTTCGGATCAGATTTTTATATTATAAAACATAATTTATCTGAAATATGGGTTTTAAAAGTATGCGTAATTCTTTTATATACTTTATCTGAAATATGGATTTTGATATTAAAACCCTGAAGAAGGTCCATAGGCCAAAACCAGAGCAAAACTAAAGCATCATGTTTTTATTCGAACACTCGCCCGCAAGTCTAAAGAGATATACCAAGACCAAACCTAAAGATTAGGGCTCGTCTGTCGAGGGCTGTGCTTTTGGGCTTTGGACGGTTTCCCTAAATTATATTTTATTTACCTACCGGAAAACAAAATATCTTAAAAAGAAACAAATAAAAAAGGTGAAAAAGATTACATTCAAGAGTTACAAGAATGAATGAATGAATAGGGTGAGAGACCTGATACTATCAAACTCAAACTTGTTAAACCTACAATTTGTAAAATCAACCCTTCATACTCTAGACTTCACTAAGATATTTCCCGTCTGCCAAACATCCTATTTATTCCATCAATATACACACTGAGAAACAAGGAACGAAAATCAAAACACATGGATGTAAACAACGCAATAATGGAAATGCTCACGCTCAGAAATTTTCTACTGCAACCGGAACGACATTTTGGTGGGGTTTGACAACGGCAGCTTGGCTTTTTTTCCTCATCTCTACCACCTTCTTGTGAGAGTTGGAATGCAATGATGGAATGAATGTAGGACTTGCGGCAGGACGATATTCCGGAAAGAGGCGTCCTGCCCTGTAGCGAACCCCACATGCATTGCAAAGGGTCTTTGGTCCCATTGGCCCTTCTCTCCATTGTGGCGTTTCTGTAATTTCACAGTGCATACATTTCATAACGACAATAGGCTGTTGGGAGCAGGATTTCTTGATCTCGCTGGAACTTGAAAGCAATGTCAGGTTCTTTTTCTTTTTCTGTCTCTTTTTGGCACATTTCTCTGTAAGATGGCTTTCTGATTCTGATTCAGAACCAACCAGATAATCAGATCCCCTGGAGGCAACGGATGCGGATGATATGGAAGGCAATGTGTACTGAAGGATATAGGTAGATGCTAGTCTTCGCTTGATTTTGCTTCGACCTCGCTTCACTGGGAAACTTAGTTCAGGGTTATTAGAAGCAGGATTTGCACCTGAGCAAGAACTGCTGCTTTCAAGCTCGGATACTGGACTGGAAGTCTGGAACCGGGTTGAACCTTTCACATCAGCAGACTCACTGTGCAAGGTAATGCTTCTTCTGGTGCAGGAGGCTGCTTTGGTATCGCTCGACTGTTGGTTTAGCTCAGAAGATCCATCACACTACAAAGAGGAAGAGTCGTATATCAGGTTAAGGAGCATTTAGCCATCTTCTATACAATTAAAAAAAACATGGAAAAGAAAGAAGAAGACTATCGGAGATTAGTTATTCATATTTATTGCAGTTGTGCGAGGATTCAATAGAAAGTGGTAACAAAAAGGCCAGCATCCATTTCAGAATAATTATCAATTACAACAATTGCATAAACCTCTAACAAAATTTAACAGAAAAAATTGTCACTTTGGTATTGAACATCAATCATATCACAACCAACAGCATTATCAGGTGGTCCCATCCATTTATTGGCAAGGCAAAATAGACACTGATTGGGCCAGCCTGCTTGCCCATACAGCTGTATTACAGTGTAATAGGCATGTGGTGCACCAGTGCACATGATATGTGACATGTTCTGATTGCATCTGTAGCACAAAACTTCTGCAAAGTACAAAATCTAATTATTGTTTCAATCACTTGAGCCATTTCCAATTGCCACGCTAAATAACCAAGCTCTGGAAGAGCATACTTCACATAATGTGCAACTACTCTCAGCATGTCTTAAAAACAAAGTTACTCCAACATAACTTTGCTTTCAAATGAAGTGTGAATGAAATATCACCATATTTATAGTGGTTGCTTCAGGAAGTACACAGTGAAAGTGCACATGTAATCTACGAAGTCCTTGGTATCACAACATGCACGGAGTAGGTTGTATGTACGCTAGAAAAACCAACAAGACAATTTACTCCATGCCATGAATGATATTTTGTATGTCTCCTAGTAAACACGCTCCAACCACCACTAGAAAGGTCATTAATTCAATATTGTTCCATAGACAGAGACACGCAATGAGAAAGTACACAGGATGCGTCAAAAAAGAAAAAAACCAATGCGCTATTATTTGCATTCCGGCCAATGCTAAATTAAAAACCGCACACATAAAAAAGTATGGAATGGAAAACAAAGTGGTACTCACTGAAATTGTAAGGCTTTTCTCCAAACTGTCACTGAAAAAATCACCATAAAATCCAGAAGACAAGCCGGCCAAAACATTGGTGGGTGGAGGCTCTAAGTTCTCAAAATTACAATCCCACTCTTCATCACCGTCATTGTTCTCTTCCGCGGGCAAATGGTTCTTTTTTACATCTTCTTTACTACCATGACAATCATCTCCTTCAACTTCTTCAAATGGTAAATCCAAATACTCTACTATGTCATCAAAGAAATCATCATTGACCCCAACCCCATTGAAGCCTTTGTCAGACCAAGAATTATTCATTTTCAGAACTTTTTTCCGCTTTTTCTCTAATTTTCTGTTCAAAATAAAAGGGAAAAAGCTTATTACTGTCAGAAAATAGTTATTATCTCGTGGAAATTAGCTTATACAATCACGGCTTTTTACCAATATTTTATGCACATAGCAGCAGTATCTTCAGCGGTAACATCTTTATTGTGTAAAATTTTAAAAAAATTCGAAGCGATTAAGGACATTAAAGTAATTTAGGCAATAATAAAATAATTAATATTATTATTAAAGTTATCTATTTAGGTGAAGTTCTTTTCTAGGTTTGGAGAATCAGTTAAGTCGTCATTTTAGCATGACAATTAACAAAAAAGAAAAAAAATAACACCAGTAATAACAGCTCAATTTTCATTTTAAAAAAATAACAACTCAATAATATAAAGGAGTTCCAATTATTTTTTTTTACAAAAGCTTGATTGGATACAGAGAAAATGAAATGCAGCAAAAAGAAAGTTGAAAGTTAGTAAATGATAACCAAAGAGAAAATATCATATTCTTCATTTTTCTGAGTATCCAAACAGAAAGTAATCAGAAATGAAGAAGAGAAAGCAAGAAATGCAAATAAATTCAAACATTTAAAAAAACCCAAAAAAAAGAGCAGAAGAAAGGCAAGGAGATAGAGGGGGGACAAACCTGGTTTGAATGAGAAGATTGAAAGAGAGGTCGCTGTTTTTGTGTTTGGGTCAGAGGAAAATGAGAGAGAAGTAAGAAGGGAGGGATAGGATTCCTTTGAATCTGATGTACTTTTAGGGATTTAGTGAAAGAGAGTAAAAGTTCATGTGAGAAGCCGCACATGGGAAGATGACTGTGCGCCTGCGGTTTTCCCCTAACCTTTTTTGAATTTAATCACACACAGCTCATTCATCCCTTCAATCTCATCAGATGTTTAAATCTCTCGGAGGGAAAAAACCCTTTTCCCTTTTGTTATTAAATAAATACCACACACTTTCCAAGACCAAAAAACCAGCTGTAGGGTCCAGCAAAGTTGTAATTGTAAATTTGAAGCGGGGAGGGGGATAATGGGTTCAAATTAATTAAAAACAAGAGTAAAATACATTAAAATTTATTTAGTTATGCTAATATATTTTTATAATCATTGAGTTTTTTAAATATTATAAGCTAATTATTATTTTTGCAATAGATTTAATAATTATTTTATATTATTTAAAAATGTATCAATCAAAATAATTTAATTTAATAATATCTTATATAATTTATTTTTAAAAATAAGATTTATTTTGTGGTGACAAGTGCATCTAATCGAGTTTAAAATATGTGAGATCACCTGGAGGATTGATTTGATTTGGCAATGCAATTTGGGTGGGCCGTTCCCAATTATTTAGTTCCATCTTCTGCCCACATGCTGCTGTGGTCCCCACAGAGTTGGAACTTGGACTTTTCTCTCTTGTATTATATTATATTATATTATGAATTATTAGATCTGCAATGTATTTTCGTATTAATGATGAATGTAAAAATGTAAAATCAATTAAATATATTAATATTTTGTCTGCTTATTAAATTATGATTTGATTTCCATGTTATGTGTTAAACTCGTATGCTCTGTACTTTGTTTCTAGTAGAGACACATCATAGATGCAGAAAAAGTATGTACTACTCTATACTTTTGGATGGGTCAAACCCGTAAATCTGACCCAAATCCAGCCGAGTTTTAATTTTGGACAGTATTTCCTAATTTGTAGAAAAGAAAATAAGGCAACAAATCAATAAAAAAAAATCTTGAACTGGATTTCTGAAACACACTAATTCAGGGTAGCATACTTATATACAACAGCTAATTTTCCATTCCAATTATAAAATGAAACCTACAAACCACAAAGTTAGAAATGGCCAGTTGATTAAATGATTAAAAAAAATAAATAGAGAATGCAACTCTGTGAAGCAGCAGCAGCAGCAACACCATAAAGCGATAATATGATTCTGCTATTGTTCATTCATCACCCAAGCTTCTTAATCAACCTACCCTAATACTTCAACATCAAATTAAGAATAAATCTCAAACTTTTACCGTGACCGATTTTGTTGCATCCAAATGATTCAACCGACAAGTCCCCAGGATGCCCTCCTAAATCATCTTCTCGTTTGTCAGATCTTAGCCAATCTGCAGCGACCATTTGCATTAATGTTCCCTTCGCTTTAAACTGGAAGAAAACGAAAGCGAGGATATAATTGTAAGTTGGATTTTCAATTTAAGGAAAGCTAAAAGTTGAGCTACGCAAAAGGAAAGCCAGAGTGGATTCAATAGAGATATCCAGGACACCTAGAAATTGATCAGCATATGATATCTGCAATTAATTGCGTCATAAAGATGCTTGGAAAACATGGAAGGACATGCATATCATTTAGAGATCATCAAAGACAAAGTGCCAGTTCATGCAAGATGGCATAAAGAAAACCATCATAGAACACAGCAGCTGAACTTTTGTAGTACACTTCAGCACTGTCATTGTAACATTTTTCTTCATACCTTCTGACGATATTCTAGGTATCTGCTTCTGTCCAACTGCAAGATAATGTACAAGTTGGATCCTTGGGAAGAGTGTTACCATAGGAGCAACCTATGCCATCTACTTTTGTCATGTCTTGCAAGTCCATGTAACCCCTCTTTTGGACTGCAACATACGATGAATCCATCAACACTTTATCTATCAAAGGGTTCTTTGTTTCTAAAATATAATATTACATAATGATCATCCAAACAGTAAGCACCTGCAATATCATGCAACTTTTTCACAAAAACAGCAGCAGTTGACAACTTCGGTTGGCGCGTATCCTGCATATTTCAGGCACAAGAAGTCATGTGAGAAAATTGAAGCAAAACATAAACAAACAAAACCTTTAGTGGAGAGAAACTCTAGTAATATGGCCACAAGAAAAGGAATAAGAAAAATGAAAAAACTCAATAGTTGGTCATATCCTCTATGAGATATGAAGCACCAATAACTGTAAATTCATTTTTTTGTAGGAATCAATGGTAACTACTTTGACTCTACCTGAGCGTATACTTCAGGACCAAAGTCGGAATCCCACCTATCTATTGATTGATCATAATCTGTTTGCTCTGGAGCATCAAAGAATTCATCGGCAGAATCACTAAAGCCTACCAGGCTCGAGTTTTCTGAAGATTCCTTTTCTATTCCTTCACTCATATTTTCCTTTGATTTTTCAGCCTCTATCTGTGTGCACTGTGCACATATCAACTACACTCTCCTCTTCGATCTGTTGCAACCTAACATTTCGTACCCACTCTCCAGATGAAATATCAGTGGAAGGATATTTTCCTTGTTTTGCTTTGAATAACTCTCTTAATGCTGCAAGTAGACGACATAAATTCCTAGCAAATTAATGCCTCAAATGATCACAAAAGTCATAAAATACTCAACACACACAAACACATATACCATGCGAAATTATGACAGAATATGTGACTACCAGCAACTCTCTCAAGCATACAGATGGTAATAGATCGGGCTGCAGAAGTTTGAAGATAAGATTTCCAGAATTTCCAATCAGCTGCAAGCATGTGTTTTACAACCGAGTGCTTTCTTTCATTCAGAGGAGATATGACATATCCACCACCTGCAAGTAAGTTCAAAACATACCCTCATAGATTAACTTTTGATTTTTCTGTTTTCAATATAAACATTTTTCTCTTTCCTCTAATATATATTCAAAAGCACATCATATGCCACAGCCTCTAAATTCTGTGGTATACAAGGGGCGAATCATCAAAATAAAGTGATGGAATAGGCACTTCTTGACAGTATTCAAACTGAAGCCAAAGAATGCTTCAACATAAAAATACACAAAAAAAAATCCCTGAATAAATGCATTTCTTTCATGCGCGTGAGATGCTTATGAAACGAGGGTAGGAGTATGCTAAATTTTAACCTATAAGGCTAAAACAGTCCATGGCACCTATAATGTATTTATAAATGTATAATAGTAGGACACAGAGAACTCAGAAAGATGCAGGAAGTTCTCTTTTAGTTATATATTTCAGGCATACATTACTTTTAAGGCAAACACGGACATAGCTTTTCTCTGGGGGGCACTTCTTGTGAAACACCGAGTGGTACAGAATAACTGTGATAAAAATCAAATCAAGGAATTCAGTTTGCAATGCCGTGACTTCTGAATAGAAGTTTCGAGAATATCCTCAAAGCAATTACTACCATATGCTCCGTCATCTTCCCTTCTCCAATATCGTCGCAGCAAGAGATCTCTTCTTTTCATTCTCCTGAAAATATAATTAGTTAGTGAATATATATAAACAGAATCCTCTAACTAAAAACTGGTGAATCATCAACTGGTGAATCAAAAGCTGCCAACCTTTCCATAAGAATCCCTATCTTTAGCTTCTTTGAACAATCTAAGACCTGCATCGCATCATGGTTTTAGTCAAGCGGTTACCGCTATCTCAAAATTCACAAATATTTGTTTTTTAATTACCATTCTGACAGCCAAAGATTGTCCAATGCGACGGTGCTACAACATCAGATGCCACTCTGTCCATCTTTGTGGACGAACCAAGTGTCCAGTCAATAGAATTGTTATGATTTGCATTACCGGAACAACTCGATCTGCATGCAAGGAGTCATTCTAAGAAACTGATATTTATAGAGAGAATACCAGATGATAAAACAAGCATTAAGCCCTCTCACACTCGTCACTAGTAAATATTCTTAGCAAATCCAAATAAATTTACTCGAGCAATTAGCACAGAACTCAAATCATGACAAAGCATAGCTGAGCTGACACCAGAAAGCCAGAAATTTAATATATATTAAATAGTAATGCTGGATGGTTGCTCATTGTTTACCTGAAGGACTGCCATCTGCTTGTTAAACAAGCAACATCTGTTCCAGGGTATGTATCACACTGCATCAATAGAATAAAATCTCATGTCATGCCAAAAATATATGATGTGCATTAACAAGAGGAAGCAGATCGTTTCAGACCTTTGAAGCTGCTTCCTGGAAGGATTGAATCCATCTTGCTGTTTTTTCAGGACTACTAGCTCCTAGCTGTAAAATTGATTCCACGTCTCATACATGAAGGTAAAAGTATCACACATGTCAACTAACAATCGTTTTGTGAAATATGTGCCTCACCTTAAGTTGGTCATTGGGATTAGAACTATTATAAAGGGTGAAAATGAAGAATACCTACAAGTCAAACAAAGAAATTTTTTAGAAAATCTCCAATGGAATGAACCAAGCGGAAAACATAAACCAATAAATTTTTTTACCAGTCTCAAGATAAAGAACACATAATTCACATAGTACTAGATTGCGGCCGCAACGCGATTTAACGGCCGCATCGTAACGGTTTTAGAGGTCACTGTGACGCAATATTAGCGCAACGTGATAAGGGAACCGCATTACAACTTTTGCGGTCTAAAACCGTTACATAATACCGCAATAGGCAAAATATTGCGCCGCAATACCGCAACAATACGTCAATGAACATCCAAATTGCCCGAAATATAAAATTACATAGATAAAATACTCGAATATTTTGACTTAACAAAAAAATGATATTAAATATTAACAAACATTTAACTTATGATGCATCTCTATATAATAATTAAAGATTGACAATAAGAATATGGCATTAAACAATAGTTAATATTAGAATATTAAAGTATGAATGTAAGATGTATAAATATAATGTTTTAGAAATAATGTGAATTTTTAGATACAAATCACACCCGCAACAGCCATTACGCGTTATGTAACGTCCGCAGCGTCCGCAACTGCAATTTAATACTATGATTCACATACGTTTCTGCGAATGCTCTCCCTCCCGTTGTCTGTTACTC